ACTTAGCAAGGCCTTTCCACATTGCCTTTGCCTCCATGCCCTGCTTGCCTTTAGCCTAAAGATCAGCCAGAGGTGAAAGTGTGTGGTCTTCTCAGTCTTCTCTGAGCGTACTTACTGCCCTGTACATTCACCTGGTTTTCCCCTTTCTTCTTATGTGGACTCTTTTCAAACTCCTTATTTTCTAAAGATTCTCACTCTGCACCTTTTCTTCCCTTGGCTTTAAGCATGTCTGTTGTTTCTCTTAATTGTTATTTTGTGCCATTTGGCACTGGCTCATTCATTTGACTCTCAGTATCTTTGAGAAATGTCCTCTGCATGGTCATGTGTTCAGGAAAGTTATGAGTTATGTGGAAAATAGGCCCCTTCCATTAGTCCTCAGGGACCCTATGGACAGATCAAAACAAACGGAACTCAATTGGGAACACAAAAGAAACACAGTTCTTTGGGAACAAGACCCAGTCTGCTGTGGTCAGGATGATGTTCCACTGAGAAGCAGGATGTGATCTTAAAGACCCACCATGCTCAGATGGGGGACATGGTAGCAAAGCTGAAACACTACAGTAGATCCCTTCTCTGCTCAGGGCCCTTCTCCTGCTTATGTGTTTGCTGGGTTGCTGTAAACATTTTACTGTCTTCCCAATTTCCTATAAGTGTGATTCTGACAGGCATGTGGTAGTTTTTGGTGTTTCTGAGGAAGGACTGTCCCCATAGTCCCTACTTGGCCATTTTTGCATTGTCCTTGTCAACGTGCTTTTATTCAAAAGCACATCCTGGCCCACTTTTATGGGCTATAGTTTAAGGGCTATTAGAGTTTATGGACTATATTTTGGTTTGCCCCTCTCTTACACTGCCCTGAGGCCACTCTGAATTCTGAGCAGTATTCTACACCATAATTCGGGTCTTGATACTTTTGCTTTATTGTTTCTGGTCAGTTTTGTGTGAGGGCCACTAGGTAGTGATCTCAGGACTTCATACATAAATGTAAAGAATCCCTTTCTCTAGGTTCCTTCTCCCTGATTCTCCCGACTCTGTGCTTGGGATCACATGGTGTAGGGTGGAGAAAGTTGACAAAGCATCTTCCTGTGTTTGCAGGAGCCATTCTGGTGGGGAGTGGGAATGGCGCCTCCTCTTGTTTCTCGGTTTTGCTCGGTGTTGGTGGGGCTAGCTGACAAAGCTCCTCCCATCATCTCCCAGCAGCAGCATTCCCTCAGGAGCTGAGGGTCCTGTTTCTGTGCTGGCTTTGCCTACTATCAGCAATGCCAGTTGCCTGGTTGGGAGGAAGAGGGCACAGTTCCTTTCGGGTTAGGGTTCTGTTCTGCATGCCTCCATTTTCAACCACTTCAAAAGTTTTATTCCCTAATGTTTGAAAACGTTTGCCGTTAAGTAATAAATCACAGAGGAAACCTACAAACATTATGTTCAGTGGATTAAATTGCATGATTTTGAACCTTGAATTTTTTAAAACAGATTTAGTTGACATAAAACACTATCTTCATTTTAGGTGTACAGTGTAATGATTCAATATATGTATATATTGTGAAATGATCATTACAAGAAGTCTGATTAACATCTATCACCACGTGTATTTACAATATTTTTTTTCTGAAGAGAACTTTTAACGTTTATACTCTTAGCAACTTCCAAATATATAATATGGTAATATTAACTGTAGTCACCATGCTGTATATTACATCCCCAATACTCATTTATTTTATAACTGGAAGTTTGTACCTTTTGACCACCTTCACTCATTTTGTCACTCCCCACCCGTCCCTCTGACAACCACCAATCTATTCTCTGAATCTGTGAGTTTGCTTCTTTCAGATCTCACATATAAGTGAAGTCATATGGTATTTGTCTTTTTCTGTGTGATTTATTTCACTTAGCAGAATGTCCTTAAGGTCCCATCATGCTGTTGCAAATGACAGATTGCCTTCTTATTTATGGCTGAATAATATTCCATTGTGTTTATACACCCGAATTTCTTTTTTTTTTTTTAAGATTTTATTTATTTATTCATGAGAGACAGGGGGAGAGAGAGAGGCAGAGGCAGAGGGAGAAGCAGCCTCCCCGCCGAGCAGGGAACTCGATGCGGGACTCGATCCCAGGACTTCGGGATCTTGACCTGAGCCGAAGGCAGATGCTTAACCATCTGAGCCACCCAGGTGCCCTATACACCAGAATTTCTTTATCCATTCATTGATGGGCAGTTATGTTGTTTCCATATCTTGGCTATTGTAAATAATGCTGCAGTGAACATGGAGGTGCAGATATCTTTTTGAGTTAGGGTTTTCATTTCTTTTGAATAGATACCCAGAAGTAGAATTGCTGGGTCACGTGGTAGTTCTAGTTTTAATTTTTTGAGGAACCTCCATACTGTTCCACAGTACACCAATTTATATTCCTATAAATTGCACCAGTTTGAATTCCCACCAGCAGTGCATTTTTTTTTTTAGATTTTATTTATTTATTTCCTTTTCTCCACATCCTCGCCAACACTTGTTTCTTGTCTTTCTGATACTAGCCATTCTGACGGGTGCAAGGTGATCTCGTTGTGGTTTTGATTTCCATTTCTCCAAATGTCTCTTTCCATGTGTCTGCTGGCCATTCATGTGTTTTCTCTGGAAAAATGTCTGTTCAGGTCCTCTGCCCATTTTTTAATCTGATCATAGTTTTTTGCTATTGAATTTTAGGAGTTTTTTTTTTTTTTTTTTTTTTTAAGATTTTAATTTTTTGACAGAGACATAGCAAGAGAGGGAACACAAGCAGGGGGAGCAGGAGCGGGAGAGGCAGGCTCCCCGCCGAGCAGGGAGCCAGACACGGGGCTCCATCCCAGGACCCTGGGATCATGACCTGAGCCGAAGGCAGACCCATAACAACTGAGCCACCCAGGCGCCCCGAGTTTTATGAGTTCTTTTTTTTTTTTGTGCGAAAAGGTGATTTAAAGCACAGGGACAGGACCCACGGGCAGAAAGAGCTGCACTGGGATTGTGAGGAGCACTTTGGGTTTTATGAATTCTTTATATATTTTTGTTATCTGTGCCTTACCAGATAAATGATTTGCAAATATTTTTTCCCATTCAGTAGGCTGCCTTTTCATTTTGTGGATGGTTTCCTTTGTTGTGCAGAAGCTTTTTAGTTTGATGTGATCCCTTATTTTTGGTTTTGTTGTCTTAGCTTTTGGTGTTAAGTCGAAAAATTCATCACCGAGAGCAGTTTACTTCCTCTTTCTTTTTATACAGCCCCTGCTGGTTAGAAGGAATAATCTTTCCTTGGGACCTTTTTTTCTGTTTTCTTTTTTTACTCCAACCTTTGGCAGTTCTGAGTCGCAGTCTGCTGTAGCATTCAGATTGGGATATACAGGAGACAAAAATAAACCCCGAGGAACTCATCACCCAATCCTCCCTTAATTCCTGAAGTTTCTTTTCTTTTCTTTTTTTTTTTTAGATTTTATTTATTTATTTGACACAGAGAGATACAGCGAGAGAGGGAACACAAGCAGGGGGAGTGGGAGAGGGAGAAGCAGGCTCTCTGCAGAGCAGGGAGCCCGATGCGGGGCTCGATCCCAGGACCGTGGGATCATGACCTGAGCCGAAGGCAGACGCTTAACGACTGAGCCACCCAGGTGCCCCAATTCCTGAAGTTTCTTACCCATTCCTGCCTTCTTTTGTCCACATTTCAGAGTCTTCCAATATTTGCTTTGTGTGTTATGTCCGTGGTTCTAACTTGTAATTGGAATGTTCGGGTGGAGTGTGCTTACTCTATCTTGAGTAGTATGGGAACTCGACTCCCACAGTCATTTACTGAAAGCACGGTTAAGTGAATACACTCATCTTGCCTACAAGTTGCTTATTTTATGGGTGTCAGTATAACAATAGGTATAGTATTAAGAGCATTAAGATAAATTCCATGGGAGCTCATAGGCAATAGGAATGAAATTATTTCTAGCCATTTTGGAATAGGTCGTGTGGTGTGGTGGTGAGGTCACTGTTCAGAGAATAATCTCTGACACCAACTGGAATGTCCTGTGATTCAATTCACTCCTGACACTACTCAGATTTAGCGCAGACCTACAGGTTAAGGGGGCAAAGTCCTGAACAAGACTGCCCACTTCAGATGCCATCCACAAGTATCAGGGGCCATCTGCACTCCCCACAACCCACTCAGATTTGATAATTTGTTAGAAGGACTGAGAAAACTCACTGAGAGTGTTATAGTAAAGATTATTGTTTATTATAAAAGCTGTACCCAGGAACAGGCAGATGGAAGCAATGCATAAGTCAAGATCTGAGGCAGGGTGAGTGGCTTTGAGGAGGAAAAACCTAGAGGTTGTGTGCCCTCTCCCTGTGGGATCTGAGCATATCCGCCTCCTGGCACATCAGCATGTTCACCATCCAGGAAGCTCCACTGAGCTTTATTGTCCAGAGCTTTTGCTGGGGTTTCATTACCACGGTGTAGTTGATGGGTTGAATGGCCATATGATGAAATTTCTCCAGCTCCCCTGTCCTCCCTGGAGGTCTGGTTGGCCCAAAGATCCAACCCATTAAGCATGTGGTTAGTCTTTGTGGTGACCAGGCTCCATCCTGAGGCTATCTAGTGGCCACCATGTGTCACCTCATTAGCATTAAAGATGCACACTGGTCACTCAGGAATTCCAGGGGTTTTTGAAGCTCTGTGCCAGAAACTGGGGATAAAGACCAGAAATAGTCTTTATTACATACCATGGTCATCAAATACAAATGCAAGGGCAGTTTGGTATTTGAGTGATATCTTGAAAGGTGAATAGTATTTAAACATTTTAATATGGGGCAAAGGGCATTTCAGGCTGAGAAATTAGCATTAGTAATCACACAGGGGCACATACTCAGAGTTCAAAATATAGAAATATATCAAGTACTTTTTTTAGCTTTAAGGTATATAAAAAATAATAAGATTAAAAATGCCAGGTTGGGGCTCTTATTTATGACATTTATGAATCATAGAATATTCTATTCATACAGAGCAGAAGAAAGAAGAGATCTGTTGATGTTTTTCCGAAGCCTACACTTTTTTGTGGAGTGGTGTGAATATCGAAAGCGCACATTTGAACACTTCAAGGTAGGCTCTAAAGTTTTTAAATTTAAAAACGTATTCAAAAAGTTAAGCTGGTTTAAATTTAAACATACCCAACAAGTGAAGCTGGTATTAATTTGGGGATTTAACATACCATTCTTCCCTTAAAGTTTTCAAACAACAGAAAATATTTTTATTGGCTTCTGGAATTTGCAGTTACTTGGAATAAATGAGGAGGAATGCTTTTGTACAAACCAGTGAGTCATTTGTATTATGGGATATCTTGAAAGAGGTATAGTTAAATTCTTACTTAGTTTATACACATTTTGAAAAATTAATCTGTCCGGGGTACTTGAAGTAAAATACAAATGCTAAAATGAGTGTAATCATAGTGGGCTTATCACCTAGCACTGTAATTTTTACTTCGTAGTCATACTCTGTATTTTGAGCTTCTTAATTATCATATATTTCAGGTTTAAGTATTGAAGCCTGATTCTGGTATAGTAATGCCTCTTAAGTCTGATACGGGTACATTCAAGGACTTCTTTTTATTCTGTTTTCTGGCATAACTAGAATTACGTTGGGCTGCATTACCATCCCCCATGTTCTTCTTAGTTGGATGGCAGCAATATTGACAGTAGTGGTCCACACGAAATCCAGTTCTGAGTCAATATAATATCTCAAAAGGCTAACCCCAGGTCATGACTGTTGTTTTTATGACTCTTGTTTATTTGGATTTTTTGTTGTTATTATTATTACTGTTATCACTACTACTGTTATTGTTTATCTTCTGTTTGGTTGAATTATTAAATCTGTCCGACAAAGAATTTTCCTTAGGATGAAACATTCCCGTATCTGTACTGTGGTCCCTGGAGGAGTTCTCTTACTGTTGTTTTTTTTTTTTTTTTTTTTAAA